TCCGCTCGAGCGCCCAATCCTCCGCTCGAGCGGACTGTAAAACAGTGCAGAGAGATGCTGGATGCTCGGATTCCACGCTCGAGCGTCTCTATCTCCGCTCGAGCGGGAGTGCGAAATCTGGAAATCCCAGATTGCACCTCCAAGCTCAAACTCAAGTTCAAAAGCATCAAAACCGATCCTCTTGGGCTAATTTCTGGAAAAACACTTGTAAACACATAGAATAACATGGTTCAAAGCTCGATTTGAGAAACCAAAGCCCAAGGGTGTTTAATTCAAACCCAATTTTCAAACCAATTTCGAGAATACGATGAACATGCAAACATGCATGAATTCAAATCATTTCAAAGCTTCAAAACATGCTCTAGTGAGCCAATTGATCCAAAAACAAGTTGAAAACATGGACCATTACAAAGTTATGGACATGCATGTACCATTTTACCATGAAATCAACTCACAACTCAACAATTCAAACATGCATGCATGAAATGAACTTCAATTCACCATTAATGAACCAATTCGTGACTTAGCTCTACAATTTAACATGGACCATGCAAGAATTAGTTCAACCACAAGAATGAGAAGATGAAATCCTTACCTAGGTTCCTTGAATGCAAGTCTAGAGGTTCAATTATGCACTTAAGCTTTCAATTCCTCAAATTACAAGCAATTCTAAAAATGAATCAAGTTGGATCACTCTTTTCCTCTTACTCTCTCTCTCTAGTCGGCAATGACAAGGGAAATGACTGAGGAGATGGTATTTGATTCAAGTGTAATGAGTTCAAAGGTGTATGAGGTAGTGGGCACTTAAGGCTAGTTTGGTAAATAAGGCTAACTTAAGCAATTGATCAAGATTTAATCTAATTTAATCACACCTAATCAGTTTTCAGATAAATATACCATAAAATCACATTAATTATGATGATCATAAAACATCAATCAGTTCTGGCTTCGGCCGTCGATAAGGCCTTCAATTAGCAGTTTAAACAGAACACGTGAACAGATCAAAGAAATAATCAAACAGATAGAATACCAATTAACACACATACTCAGTCAATTCAGTTCCAGTTTTCAGTCAGTCAGTTCAGTACTTTAACCAGTCCAATTATCAGTCATAATTAGTTCAGTTTAACGGTAATCACTGTTTATCGGTACTCAATCAGTCATTAATCGGTAAACAGTATGAGGGTTGTTACAACAACAAAATTAGTCTAGCTCAATACAGTTAAAGTCCTTGGATATACAAATTAAATACAACAAAAATGAGTCCTTACTCCAAGTCTCTCCAAGCTATTATCATGGCGGAGGCATGTCACCAGCACCTGAAAATGATTTTTCTCAATAGAGAGAGCCAAAGCCCCATAGAAATAATCTGACACAATATATGAATCTTAACAAAGATATAAGTATGAAATGTATGTCGAATGCCTATCATAAAATCGATCATATCTTACAAGATCATAATATGTCAAATTCTTTATTCCAATCTATCTTATCTCAATTTCATTCATATCAATTTATTTCACCTCAATTTATGAGCCATGTTCCTTATTATCCAAACCACCCAACTGAGACTAAAACTCAGTAGTTCTCAAACCTACATAATTAATACACAGCACTTCAATTTGCCATTTTACGAAAATTTTATCCGCAAGAATCAGCATCTATGTAAATGCGTGATTTGTCGGACTTACACTCAGGACACACAGGCTAACTTAATTCAATGGTGTCCATCCCCTTTCTCCTCCCACATATGGAGTACGTCCACTTTCTCCTCCTAAATATCATACATATACAATGTATTATAACATAGTCATATTCAATGACAACAATAAGAGATTAGTTTCAATTCGCCTAATCCTTATGCAATTTCTACAATAATCATGACTATCCTCCACTGATAGCCCGAAACAGATATTTCTAAACAGATATACAATCTTTATAGCAGATAAATTATCTAAATTCCCATAACTGCGAGATAATACATATCTAACTCCACCATTTGTATAAACAACCTTCCAATTTCACACTTTCACTACTAATTCATTATTTATACAAAATAATTATTTGAGTCATTTTAGGGTCAAGCTCCATTTTTTTCCATGTTCATCCCAAACACCAAAATCAAGTATTTTAACACAATACAAGTTCATATCTATTCCCATAACCGTTTCCATTACACTCATTCGAAAACCACCTATTGAGATTTTAAATCAAAACCCTAAGTTTGTCTAAAATCCTCCAAATCCCAATCTTGTCCATACAACATCAAATAACTAAGTTAAAAACCATGTGAAAGTGTAAAAAATCTCTACTTCAAGCTTAGAAGACCAAAGGAAAAGATGGAGGAACTTCAAAGACGCCGAAACCAAGTTTTAATCGAATCAAAAGAAAGCCCTTAAGACGTACCACCTTTTTATCAAAAGTATATAAGTGGAGAACCCACTAGATCTAGGTAAAAATGTAGAGAGAGAGAGAGTCGGTCTAGGGCTTTTGAGAGAAAGATGTCAAAAAGTGATGTAAAAATGTGTTTCTGCGAATTGATATACGTGCAACTCACTCGATCGCAGGAATTGTCGCTTGAGTGACTAGACACAAATAACTCACCTCGCTCAAGCGCAGAATGCACACTCCCAGAAGTTTTATGGACATAAGACCGATGCTCAAGCGCAAAAGTTCTTGCTCGAGTGAAGAACACTACTGTAATGCCCCGTATTTTATTACTCGGATAACCTTACCAATATTCATTAATTAAGTCCATTTACAGATAACATTTCATCCTTGGATGAAATGATAAATAATTAAATATACACATTCCCTCTCGTTATACAACAATGACATTTACATATAAACAAAATAAATGCCCTAAGGTTTACAATAAAAGAGAGGACACTACTCTTTACAAAAAAATAGCACTCAGCTAAACAACAAATGAAGTAATACAATCCATCACTACATTAAATTTATGAAATGGTAAAAACCATTGTTTGATCTTCAAATCTGAAAAGCATTCCCTGTACACATGTACAGGCAGGGGGTGAGCAACCACTAGCTCTCCAAGCAATCTCATATTAAAACATTAGAAGATATGCGGGTATCAAAATACTCATATATATATACGTGAAATCATATCATGTCAAAACCATATGATTTTATTACACAATTTCTTAAATTCAATTTATTTAATTAACCACAACAAATTAACTTAAATAAATAAACATGTTTCAATAGCAACAAGACATCATTTTCAATTCATTTAATTATCTCATCATCAATTGAATCAAATAATTAAGCAATTTATCAAATTCATTTTATACAGTCTTATAAGATGAATGAATATGCCATGTCATGCTCAAAATATTTTTCTCATCTTTTGAAAATCTTACGCACAATGCCATTTTGAAAACACATTAATCCAACAATTTCAATAAAATTTCAAGATGCTAAATACGACTAAGGTAATCCCTAGGCTGGTGTCTGCAAGTAGACTATACAAATACTATCAATTTGTCATTTTTACTAGTATTAACTAGAAGGCTCGACACCTGTAATCTATCATTTTTACCAGTATTAACTGGAAGGTTCGACACCTGTAATCTGTCATTTTTACTAGTATTAACTGAAAGGCTCAACACCTATCATCTATACTGTCTTTCAAGACTTACCATTGTATTTATCCCAAAATTATTTCATGAAAACTTGTTTCCCAACATTCCTTTCTCAATGCAAAATTTTCAAATCAAATTTCAAAACCCATCATTATCAAATGAATTGATATGCCAATGCAATGATTAATAATACAATGTAATATTTCTTTTACTTTCAATACTTCCACACGATATTCTCATTGTGACCAAAATTCTCATTTCTCATTTCAATATAATTTCTCAAGATGAATATAAATATTTTTATTCCAATTCGTCCATGGGACAACATAATTTACACACTTAGAGTAATCTCAACCATTTAGTCACTTCAAGACTATATCAACATTTTGAACAACAATTTTCAAAACTTCAATAATTCTCATATTCCATGAAAATCATCATTTATATGTAAACAAATAAATATGTTTTCAAATATTATTTATTTTGGCACACAAAATAAATATAACATCTTTCCAAAATAAATATAGCATCTTCAAAGATTGTCAACATCTTTCTTAAAAATCCCCAATTTCTAGGTTTTCTCACCAAAACCACTCATCTTCATTTATTGAAAGAAAGTCACCAAAAATATCTCTCTTCAATCATCATAGTTCAAAATCCTTAATTTCTATTTTAAAAGGAACAAGAAAATAAACCTACTTTCAAAAAAAAATCTCTCATATTTTTGAATTAACAATTAATTTTCAAAACAAATTAAAAGATGATTTCGAAAATCATCTAGATCTTGCAAAAACATATATATAACTCAAAGGAAATCCCTACTTATTAAATGTTACCATTTCCATCATACTATGTCACAAGTTATGATATAATCTTAGTAACACACTTTTAACCATAACGGATATAACCTTTTAACCAAAACTAATTTAATCCACTAAATTAGTAAGTTTATTATATTCAAAAAATTTTAAATTAATAATACCAAACATAACTTCACATGCCTCATCCCTCAAACATAACTATATTTCAACATAACCATTTTTCATGCCAAGCTATTTAAAGCGGTAATATTTTTACTAGATTCTCTATCAATAACAATTTCACAACTTTTTCTAAAATTACTTAACCAACATGATATTTATATCAAAAATTATGAAATATGCCCAATAGTAACATTTTCATGGTTATGAGTTTGAAAGTCCACATTTCACATTTTTATTTTCATAAAAATGAACACAATTTAATCATCAACATATCATCTTTTATAAAATATCATGAATATAATACTTTTAGAGTTTTTTATCGCAAAAAAACTCTATAATTCCTACTTGAGCATTTACTCCACATTCCTCAACATTAATTTATTTTTCTCAAAAATAAATTCTAAATCAAAGATAAAAAAAAAAATCAACTTTATATTTCTCAAAATAAATCATCTAATCATAATATGGTATAAATACTATCATACAACTATTAAATTTTATTTTTGGATTTCTTTGCAAAATTATCGACACAAAATGATTTTTCCAAATCAATCTCAAAATGCCAACATTCTTAACATTTCAACATAATTTTTCTTTCAAAAATTACCAAACAAAAAGTTGAAAATATGTATATATGCAATACCTCTTATAATGATATATTTTCTCAAAATAACCCTAACATAGTTTTAATATAAAAATCAGGGCCGACCTTGACCTAAGGCAGGTAAGGCTTGTGCCTTAGGCCCCAAATTTTGGCCCAAAAAAAAGGCCCCCAAATTTAATAAATTGTTATAGGCCCAACCCCTTTTTTTTTTGTTTTTGTTTTTGTTTTAAGATCAATTTAAAAGGCCTCAGAATGTTTTATTGGGCCCATGTAAAATTTAGCCCTTATAAATGTATAAATGTGTTGGGCCCATATTTATTAAAAAAAAAAAAAAACATAAACAGAAAAAGTATTTGGGCCCAATCCAAACCATACATACACTATACACAACATCACTTTCACTTCAGTGCACTGGTTTTGCTTTCAATCTCTCTTTCTTTGACAAAGTAATGAAATGATGACAGCAAAATATACCAAGTTCAAGGCAAGGTAGATGCAGAGCACAACATTGTTGTGAGCGACTCACTCTTTCTCTTTCACACACTCCTTCGGTCCGGCGACTCACTCTCTCTCACACACACTCTCTCTCATGGTAAATCCT